TCTGTATCAAATACTTGTGCAAATGCTTAGTGTCGGCACTGATATTGGTGCAACCCTATTGGTTTCCCCAAATCGCTTCCCACTATTCTAATGTGATTTTCATATGACTTCCAGTTTGACTATGCAGTGTGGCTTGCTTACGATTTTCATGTGACTTCAGTGTGACTTTAGAAGTTGCATCAGCATAGGTAAGAGGCATTCCTATGCAACTTTGATGTATGAGCATTTTTTTTTCCCCTCACCCCTCCTCCCTGGTCATCCTTGCTGCCTAATGCTAGGTTCACACTGAAGCAGCATTGATCCATTCTTTAAACGATTAATCTTTTCATCAAACAGTAGATCAGTGGATCATTCGAAGGAATGATCAATCGATCAAAGAGGATTAGTGTGAAAGCAGCTTCAATCAACCTCATGGAGTGAATTTTGTCCAACTGATGAACCAGCTGAAATTTTCATTGTATATGGCCAGCTAAAGGAGTGCATTATTGTTTGCGTTTACTTTGTGTGGGATGTGTCTGAAAGGACAAAGCATGTGATTAGCAGGATATGTCAACTTTTTTGTAATAAAATAAATGACCCTTTTCAAAACATAAATATAGAACATTGCATAGTTACTGCTGCTCTGGTTTATTATATATTTGTACATAGTGCACTTTATACTGCTGCATAAGAATCTTCAAGAACATTTGCTCACATGACTTGGTGGAATTTTTGTACGAGTGTGTTCATTCAGAATCCAGTGCCAGCGTTTACAGTTTCACAATGCTTCTGGAGGAAGTAGCATTAGACATTTCAATGTTTCAGGAATGGCCTGAATGTTGTAGGAAGCCTTTAGAACAGCATGGTAGGAAATCAGTCTCATGCGGAATATGTGTACTGAGCCATTTAACTCGGTCCTAACTTTTGGATCCAGGAGCTGAATATTTGCTACAGGCACCTCTTTTAAGAAAACAGAATGCAACATGAAAGCTCAAAATGCAAGGTCCCTGGCTGTCCGTTTACTCACAAGTAGGTAGGCCAGGATGTTCCATACACTCCCTGTGTACTTTGATTCCATTTTTTTGGGTGGGTGAAGCAAGCCCAATGTCCACAATTAGTTAACCTCTGAAAAGAGGGTTTGTTAGTTTTTCCAGGAGCCTTCTATAATCTGTGGCCCCTATAACTGCATTAGAAGTTGTTGCAACGTAGTAATATTTCACACTTCACTGTGACAAAGTGCAGTCTGTAGGCCTTTTGGTATCTGTGTTTGACAAACTGTGCTAAATGTTGTGTTCTGTGCAGAAATTGTAATCAGAAGGCCACCAGATCTGTAGAAATCTCCCTTTTTTATGCAACAATGAAAGCATTGGTCATAGTAGGCAGGATTCATATGAGCTCTGCTTGAGAGGACCTTATACCACCGCATCATTTTGTTTTTTATGAATTGGCAACATGGAGTGAGCATTTAGCAAGGGCTCACTAAATTATCTTCCAGTATTCAGCTGCTTTGTCCTACATCGGTCTGTCTAACATATTCTTGTCTTGTGTGTTGTGGGAGAGTTGACAAGTAGTATATAAAATAGAGATACATTTGGAACCAGTCAATGAGTAAAGACCTAAATGTTGATAGGTCTTTATTAATTCAGTGATGGTTGATCTGATATATCTCAATCATTCAGTTTCTGCAGGATATTGTTTTTATGTTGTATATGCCCATATTTTAATTTTACCCCATTGTTTAAAGTCATGTAGCAGTGTAAATTTCTGAGTGGTCCCCTAAGAAAATGCAGTAGGGTTATCCCAACCTGGTAGAGAAAATGAAAGGGTGCCAGAGGTGGAAGAAGTAAGTTGGAGTGAAGTTGGCCATTTGATAGTGCTGTATTTTTAAGATAGGTGGCAGCAAGGGTATAAATCTATCACCAGCCTTGGGGTGTTCTGTATGACAGGAGGTTGAGTTCCTAATGTTTGGACCACTGTGATTGGCTATCACAGCAGTCATATGATCAGGAATCCCTTCTACCAGCTTTCCAGTTGTAATTGGTGACCAAAATATTTTTGGTGACAGCTCAGTGAGCATGTTAGGAGTTTTCAGTCAACATGATCTCAGAACAAAGCAGTGGTGCACCATGGACACATATACAGCACATGGGTGTTAAGACCCACCCGCTCTGCTGCTTCATACACTCACCGGCCAGTTTATTAGGCTCACCTTGCTAGTACCTGGTTGGACCCCCTTTTGCCTTCAGAACTGCCTTAATTCTTCGTGGCATAGATTCAACAAGGTGTTGTAATCATTCCTCAGATTTTGGTTCATATTGACATGAGTTACTGTTGCCTTTCTATCATCTCGAACCAGTCTGCCAATTCTCCTCTGACCTTTGACGTCAACAAGGCATTTTTCGTTCACACAACTGCCACCCACTGGATATTTTTTGGACCATCTTCCGTAAACCCTAGAGATGGTTGTGCGTGAAAATCCTAGTAGAGCAGCAGTTTTTTTTATACTTAGACCAGCCCGTCTGGCACACACAAACATGCGACGTTCAAAGTCACTTAAATTCCCTTTCTTCCCCATTCTGATGTCTAAATGCATTGAGTTGCTGCCATGTGATTTGCTGATTAGTAATATGTGTTACTAAGCAGTTGAACAGGTGTACTTAATAAAGGGGTTGGTGAGTGTACATGTGTTGAGTTTAACCAATTTCCCACCGCCCTACAGTAGAACTGCTACAGGGTGGCAGGGCTGCGCAAAATCTTATATAATGATTTGCATTTCCGGGTTGGGGGGCGCACGCCATTGGCGGCCTCGGGATGTCAATCCCCGAGTCCCGGCCGGAGGTTCCCCGCAGGCACCCAGCGATAGTCGGGAAGCTAACAGGGAGAGATTTGTGTGTAAACACAGGTCTCTCTCCTGCCAGCAAGGACATACTGTTTTGTATTTCTCTGCACAGCAGAGAAATGCATAGTAGCATGTTTCCCTATTAAAACACAGACCGCACATCATGTAATACAGCACACAGTTAACCCTTTGATCACCCCCAGATGTTAACCCCTTCCCGCTAAGTGTCCTTAGTAAGGTGTCAGTGCTTTTTATTAGCACTGATCACTGTATTAGTGTTATTGGGATGTCAGTGGCAGTTGGTCAATTCCCACCCAGGGTCAGAATGCCCGCTGCAGTCCCATAGTCCCTCTATAAGTTGATTGCCACCATTACTAGTATAAAAAAAAATTAAAACAAATTCCAGTATATATACCGCCATTTGTAGACGCTATAAGTTTCACGTAAACCAATTAATTTACATGTATTGGGATTTTTGTTAGCAAAGACATGTAGCAGAATACATTTTGGCCTAAATTTATGAAGAAATTTGATTTTAAAAACCTTTTTGTACTGGATATGTTTTATAGCAAAAAGTCAAAAATATTGTTTTTTTTTCTTCAAAATTGTTGGTCTTTTTTTGTTTATAGCGCAAAAAAAAAAAACCACAGAGGTGATCAAATACCACTGGATGAGCTCTATTTTTGGGGAAAAAAGGACATAAATGTAATTTATGTACAGCGTCTCATGACTGCGCAGTTGTCAATTAAATTAATACAGCGCTGTATCGCAAAAAATTGGCCTGGTCAGGAAGGGGCTGAAATCCTCTGGAGGGCAAGTGGTTAAAAATAGGACTTATCCCCTTATTATCTAATGGTATATTCTGGAAGGGGAGTAACTAGGCATCTTCTATTTTTCTCTTATCAGAACTCGCCTTCATGAGTTGTAGACAATAGCTAGGATGCTATATAACAAAATATTGAGTTTGGGACTTCAGCTCAGAATCAAGGGATAGCTAATGTATTAGAAAGTTTTGTTGATACTGCTCTTTACTCTGCCATATCAGGCCTGCATGTAACACAGAGTAGTACTGAAAGATCACCTGACATTCTAGTATTGGCATATGTGTAGGGTTGTGCAAAACTCAGAGTTTGTTTCAAGCTATCAGAATTGTGTGTATTTAACTAGCATTAGTATAGTGGCAGGTAGTGGTGTGCTTTTTCTGATTTGGATTTGTATGTAGCAAAAAAGAGCAAGGGGATGACTAAGTTAGTCCAAGCATAGTTACATAATTAGTCTGGCTGAAAAAAGACAAAAGTCCATCCAGTTCAACCAAAAAAAAAAAAATGTTGTAGTTGTATACCCACAGTTGATCCAGAGGAAGGCAAGAAAAAAAACCCAGCAAAGCATGATCTAATTTGCTCCTGCAGGGAAAAAAATTCCTTCCTGCTCCCCCAAAAGGCAATTGGATATTCCCTGGATCAACTTTACCTATAAATGTTAGTATCCAGTTATATTCTGTGTATCCAAGAAAGTATCTTTTAAAGCAATCCACTGAGCTGGCCAGAACCAACTCTTGAGGGAGTCTATTCCACATGTTCACAGCTCTTACTGTGAAGAACCCTTTCCATGTTTGGAAATTACATTTCTTTTCCTCCAGACGTAAAGAGCGCACCCTCTGTGATGACCTCAGGATGAATATCTCTACACCGAGTTCACTATAGGAACCACTGATGTATTTATACATGGTGATCATATCCCCCCTTAATCTCCTCTTTCAAGAGAGAATAAATTCAGTTCCTCTAATCTTTCCTCATAGCTGAGCTCTTCCATGCCTCTTATCAGTTTGGTTGCCCTTCTCTGCACTTTTTCCAGTTCCTCAAAATTGAACTTCATATTCCAGATGAGGTGTTACTAATGATTTGTACCGGGATAATATAATACCTCTCTCTCTGGAGTCTATACCTCTTTTAACTACTTGCCGACCGCAGATAGCCGAATGATGGCTGCACTGCGGCCGGCCAGTTCTGGGTGGACGTCATATGACGTCCTCCCAGAACGTGCTCGGGGGCGTGCACCCGGCGATCTCCATGATCGCTGTGTCCTACGGACACAGCTGATCACGTGACGTGGTAAAAGGCCAATCACAGCGGCCTTTTACCACGTGATCAGCCGTGTCCAATGACACGCTGATCACCGGGAAATGCAAATGCCGGTTCTCGGCTGCACTTTCCTCACGCTGTCAGATCGTGAGGAAAGTACTGCCGAAAACCGGCAGTTGTCAGAGCAGGGATCGGCGGGGATCGGCACCGATCATCAGGGTCACTGATCGTAAAGTGCCCTGATGGTCGGTGCCCAGCAGTGCCACACACAAGTTCCGCCCACCTGTGCCGCCCAGCAGTGCCCCCACCTGTGCCCACCAGTGCCCACCTGTGCCCAGCCGCCCAGTTGTGCCAGTCAGTGCCCAGCAGTGATGTCAGTCAGTGCGGTCTATCAGTGCTGTCTATCAGTACCCATTATCAGTGCCACCTATTAATGCCGCCTTTCAGTGCCCATCAGTGTCGCCTATCAGTGCTTATCAGTGCTGCCTCATCAACGCACATCAGTGAAGGAGAAAAATTACCTGTTTGAAAAATTTTATAATAGAAACAAAGAAACTTTTTTTTTTTTTCAAATTTTTTTGCAATTTTTTTGCTTATAGCACAAAAAGTAAAGTGCCCAGCAGCGATTAAATGCCACCAAAAGAAAGCTCTATTTGTGAGAAAAAAATGCTAAAAATTTCATATGGGTACAATCTTGCATGAGCGCGCAAATGTCAATCAAAGTGCGACAGAGCTGAAGGCTAAAAATTGGCCTGGTAAATAAGGGGGTATAAGTGCCTGGTAGGCAAGTGGTTAATACAAGAGAGGATTTTGCTCACTTTAGAAACCACAGCTTGGCATTGCATGTCCATTATTAAGCTTGTGATCTACCAGAACTCCCAGATCCTTCTCCACCATTGATTCCCCCAGTTGTACCCCCCCCCCCCTAGTATGTATGATTCATGCATATTCTTAGCCCCCAAGTGCATAACCTTACATTTATCAGCATTAAACCTCATTTGCCACATAGTTGCCCAATTAAACAGTGCATTGAGGTCAGCTTGTAAGTTGAAGACATCCTATAAGGACGTTATTCCACTGCACAGCTTGGTGTCATCTGCAAGCAGATTTTCTAGTTTTTGCCTAACATGGCTTGTTACAGATAAACACAGATAGTTACAGATAGTTTGTTGATAATAAACACAGCTGAACATAATTAGTAACTTTCTGTGGTCCTTCTTTTTCGCACTGTTATTGAACATATGCTGATAACCTTTGATACACTACTTGGTATGAGTCTTTAATTACATAAGCTTTGTATTCATTAAGTAATAAGAGACCTGTAGTGAGGAGGTAAGGATGCTTCCCTTTTGCGAATTATTCTCAAAAATACTTGTTCCCTGGCTATCATACTGTTTCAAAGGTTACAGTAAAGTCACATTCTTGGAACAAGCATGCACTTAACAAATATGTTAAAGCAAATTAAAAAAAAACCTTGCATCTCTGCCGCACTTTTCTGTAATGTCAAGTTAAACCAGCTACAAGTACCGAACAAATAACTGTTGGTGTGTTTGTACCTTCCTCTTTGACATGACAACACTGTTTATTTTCAGCTCAGAATTCCAAAACATGTTGTCAGCCCTGCCTACTTTATTTCTGATGGATTTCAGCAAAACATTTTTAATGGTATATGTAGCAAACCAAACAGAGCAAATAAAAGTTAAATGTTCGGGTTTACATACACTTTAATATGTTACTAAAGCCAGGGCTCTGCATTCACTATATCCGGTCTTCCACAGTACACAGAACATGGAAATGCAAATATTATAGTAAATATCAACTGCTACGTACATTTTCTCAGCAGTATATAGCAGTCTTGTGACTTCTATCAGTGTCCAGCTGAGCACTTGTTAATCGTGTAGGAGAGATTTCATTCTCCGGATTGTCCTATGAGGCTGTATGATCCCTGACCTGTTGTCTAGACAGTGCTGATTGGCCCTGTTCTGATCAAATGCTCCCTCCCCCCAAAAAAAACCCACAAAAAGACCTAAGTATATCTGTGGTCAAAATTTTAAATCCTATATTTCCACATTTGTCTTTTAATTATTTCTAGCCTACGCCCTGAAATTTGTAAACCAACTTTGTGAAGATTCCAACACATTGACTGTGACATATATTTGTTATGCCCTGTTGATGGGCACTGATATGTCACACGTTTCAGAGTCTGCCTTCTGAACTACAGGATGCTGAGGAGGAATTTCAGGGGATGGAGTCAGTACAAGAATCGCAGATTGCAGGTAGAAAGGTACCTTGAGATATGTAGTCCTTAGAAATTCAAAGTAAACGGCAGAGGAGACAAAGTAGGCAGGGAGTCCAAGAAGTTGTGGAAAGAGATTGGTAGCACTTAAAAAACTAACAAAGGATATTGAAGTTGGTTTATATGGTAAATAAATTGAGCCTATATGCAGTTAGTTAGGTCTGTATATATTTGGACACAGGTACAATTGTAGTTTTTTCAGTTCACCAAAACATATTCCAGCTATAGTTTATATAATAGATATGGGCTGAAAGTGCACACTCTCAGGTTTAATTTGAGGGTATGTACATCCAAATTGGAGGAAGGGTTTAGGAATTACAGCTCTTAAGAGTAGCCATCCAAAAGTAATTGAATCTAATAAATAAAATGTTCATTTTGAATATTTTGTTGAGAATCCTTTACTGGCAATGACTGCCTGAAGTCTGGAACCCATGGACATTACCAAAGACTGGGTTTTCTCCTTTCTGATGCTTTGCCAGGCTCTAACTGCAGCGGTCTTCAGTTGTTCTTTGTGGGTCTTTCTGCCATTAGTTTTACCTTCAGCAAGTGAAATGCATGCTCAATTGGGAGATCAGGTGATTAACCCTAGAGATGGTTGTGCATGAAAATCCCGGTAGATCAGCAGTTTTTTAAATACTCAGATGTGCCCGTCTGGCACCAACAGCCATGCCACGTTTAAAGTCACTTAAATTCCCTTTCTCCCCCATTCCGAATGTCTGTTTGAACTCTAGCAAGTCATCTTTACCAAGTCTACATACCTAAATGCATTGAGTTGCTGCCATGTGATTGGCTGATTAGCAATTTGTGTTACCAAGCAATTGAACAGGTGTACCTAATAAAATGGCCGGTGAGAGTAGTTGCAATGGGGCAGCATGGTGGCTAAATGGTTAGCACTTCCTCCTGGCAGTACTAGGGTTGTTGGTTCGAATCCCAATCATGGCACTACCTGCCTGGAGTTCGCATGTTCTCCTTGTGCCTATGTAGGTTTCTTCCGGGTACTCTGGTTTCCTCCCACACATGCTGGTATGTTAATTGGATCCTATATAAATTTGCCCTGGTATGTGTATATATAAATGTAAGGTATGGACTTTAGATTGTACGCCCCTGAGGGTTAGGGACTGATGTGAATGTTCAATATATATGTAAAGTGCTGCGTAAATTGACGGCACTATATAAGTACCTGGAATAAATAAATACCCATATACACCTGGTAGGGATTGCTTACAATAATACAACCCATGTAAGAAACTCCAGCAAGAGAAACCCAATGAGTTTTCAATTTCTTTTTACAAATCTTCAGGGGAGGGTTTGCCAGTCTATAAAAAAAAGATATGTAGCGCATCATAAATTATCTTATTACATGGGCTAACCTTTGTATATCTCAATCTTTTATAATCACACTTGCATAGCAGATGTGTCACCACAAAAACTCATCAAGGAAATTTAAAGATAGATGCCAGGTCTTCAGGCCCTTGAGCTCTCAGTGGTCCTCGGGGACAATATGTGTACACATAAAGGAACGGAGGGTATGCCCAAAACTGATCCAAGGGAACAGCCACTTGAACATCCTAGTTGATGTGAAGATCTTCAGATCAAACAAATGTATATATGTCATGGCTAGACCTTCATTATTGTCCCCCAGACTATAAAGGTATTTAAATAATCCATCGTTGTTGGCTATGTAAATTCTATCCTGACAATACATTGTAAAGATGTCAAAATGTCTGATGGTCATTGTTTACCAATACTTGCTGTCCCTGCCAGGAAAACACTGATTTTTGCTAGTGGCTAAAAATCTGACATGCTGGTTGTACCCAGGTCGATGGATGGATTGACTTGGGTACAATCAACATGCCCATATATGCTTCCTGCTGAACTGGCCGAAATTCTAACCATCTATGGCCAGCTTAATAATAGAGAGCAACTGAGCATGTGCAGAGCAGGGTGAGACAGTGTATTGCTGGATTTTAAACAGTATAGGTGCTTATTTCTAATGTTTTACATAACTATACCTGCAAAAGGGACCAGCGTGAAGTAACCTAGCAGGACTTAAAGCAGTAGCAAAAAAAAAAAAATAGGCTGCAGGTTTAGGTCATAATGTACTAGTTTGCATCACATACTATTATATTATGACACTTACCTTTACACGGATACCTCCAGCCAGGTTGGGACAAGGGGTGGGCAAAAGGGAAAGCTGCCCTGGGCGCAATGGTTTACTGTAGAGATAGGGGTGCCTTCCTTCTGTTACAAGGCTAACAGGAGTATTGACAGCGGCAGTGATTTTGACAAGCGAGTGACTGCTGGGCGTAGGATCCCCTTAACGTTCACATGAAGGAAGGGGGGTGCAGTTTGGTATCTATGCCCTGGGGCGCTGGATGATCTTGTTTCAGCAGTGCCTCCAGCACAGCGCTGTCAAGGCTCCCTGGCGCTGCCATCTTCACCCTGTCCTCCTTCGGGGCTCGTGGGCTCCGACTGAATGAATGGCTGGGGCTGTGATGACCTCACTTCATCGGCTACGGCATAGAGCTCTGAAGGTCAAGCACAGTATGCCGTCCATTCAGAGCTCATGTGCCGGTGACGTCACCCGCTGCATGTTATGTAAATATCTCCTTAACGATGCAAATTTAGGAAATATTCACTGTACCTATAGGTAATCCTTATTATTGGCTTTCCTGTAGGTACAAGTTCTAAAGTGGACTTTACTTCCACTTTGTCTGACAAAAGTTCCACTTTAAGATGAAAACAGTTTGTCTGTTCATGAGATTTCTGACTCGCGGAATTTCCTTCCTTTTTTATTCCTGACATGGACACGATTGCACCTGTTGAACTTCTCTTTTCGTCCCTTGACATACATTCATTATTCAGTGTTTGCTGAGAGATCTGCCTTTAGACGGTTAATGTTGCTTCTGGCTTATCTCAAAATAAACAGAAAAATAGAAGTCCTTCTCATTTTCTAGTCAGGTGACTTCTAAACATGTGACAATGTCAGTTGGCCTTATATAGAGTCCTCTGTGAGCATTGCTTTAGCTACATAGCTGGTCCACTTAGCCACCAGGTTCAAATACTGATGGCTTTCTTGATAGCCAACTTAGAATGGAACTTTTAGGTTAATAAAAATGAACAAGCAGGAATGTTATTGCAGAGGAGACATGTTTTGTCTCTTCTGCATTAATTATTTGTTGTGAAAAAAGGGACCTTAACCACTAGCCTACAGGGCACTTATACCCCCTTCCTGCCCAGGGCAATTTTCAGCTTTCAGCGCTGTCGCAGTTTGAATGACAATTGCGTGGTCATGCAACATTG